AAGCCGGAGAAAATTCAATGCAGGGCACAAAACTACCCAGACCTAAGCCTGGCTCAACTGGCTCAGAACGTGCACTGCAGCCTGGACTCTGGGCTGGTGTGCAGAAACAGCGAGCAAACAGGGAAATTTAAGATGTGTTTCAACTATGAAGTTCAATTCTGGTGCTGTCACGCCAACCCCAACTGCATTACTACACTGCAAACAACCACCTCCCTTGCTACCCCCACCCCAAAGCCGGGCACCACCACTGGACGCACGAGCACGTCTCCACCCTCATTAGCGCCTTCCACCCATCCTCCAGCCAGCACCTCAACCACTGAAGGCACCACGCTCATTATCACAAGCCCCATGGTGGAAGTTGTAGAGCCCACCAAGACCACTCTCGTCCCCACTACAGCCAGGCCCACAAGCACAGCTGCTGTCACACCTACTACACCACCAGGGACCACGCCCGAGATAACCCCCACCACCTCAGCAGCCTCCACCACCTCCACTCTTCCAACCCGGGGACCCACTACTGCAGCAAGTACTACACGTGGTTTCACCACCTCCGAAACACCCACAACAACACAGAGCACCCCTTCTCCAGTGCCTGTAACCCCCACCACAACAGCAGTCACCTCAGCTGCTTCTCCTACCCCAGCCTCCTGCGAGCCAACCTGTGCCTGGACACCCTGGATTGATATAGACTTCCCAACTTCTGGACCCGAGGGAGGAGACATGGAAACCCTCTCCAATATCCACGCTGCTGGAAAGCCAATCTGCCACAAGCCGGAGAAAATTCATTGCAGGGCACAAAACTACCCAGACCTAAGCCTGGCTCAACTGGCTCAGAACGTGCACTGCAGCCTGGACTCTGGGCTGGTGTGCAGAAACAGCGAGCAAACAGGGAAATTTAAGATGTGTTTCAACTACGAAGTTCAATTCTGGTGCTGTCACACCAACCCCAACTGCATAACCACACTGAAAACTACCACTTCCCTTGCTACCACAACCTCCACACCGGCCATAACAACATCAATAGTATTCCCCACTACTACGCTGGCTACAAGCCGAGGAAAGCCCTCAATCAGCATTATTACTAAGAAACCTGCAACCCACGCCCCTCAGGTAGTAGGTTCCACAGTTTCTACCTTATCTACTTTAGTATCTACAACCACTGAAGGTGCCTCAATATTTTCCACCAGCACTCAAAATCAAACTACAGGGGGAATATTCAGAACTGAAGAAACTGAGTCTTCCACTGCAAGCAGAACAACTGCGTGTTTCTGCCATGTATTTGAGCATTTGTTTTCTCCTGGTAAGTTTATTATTTGGCTGCTATAAGTATAATAAAGAGAAATGTTAGCCCTTCATCATTTTATTAAGCTAACTCAATGAAATACTTTTTAAATATTTGTCTTTTTTGTGTATAAGATCCATGTATGGGTCTTATACACAAATGTCAAATATTGACAACCAAGAGATGTCAAATATTGACATCTCTTGGTTGTTGATCTTTTGAAAAAAAACTATCATCTGTGTAATTTCAATTTTAATTTTGTTTCCTAGGGCAAGTTGTATACAACAGAACAGATCATTCTGGTTGTTATTTTTATGCACTTTGCAATGACAAATGTGAAATTGACCGATTCCAGGGGCCATGTCCCACAACAATTCCTTCCATTTCATCAACCACATCACCTACAACCTCAGGTCTATCAAGTCCAGGATCTGTTTCTTCTACAATCTCACCATCTCTAGAAACATCTAAACCACCACCAGAAGGCTGTCCTAGTTTGGATCCTCCAAGGAAGGTAATATCTTTTTTCCTCATTATCATAATTGCCAAGTTTCACCCAAATTTACCCTAAATTCTCCCTTACACCATTCTTATCAGGTTTACTGGGAGTGATTCATGTACATTTCAGGACCAAACTTTGACATTTGTCTGTAAATGTGTAGAACATAAATGCTATGAATATGTGCTGTCAAGTTATAAATAACTGCAATAAAATGTATGGTGTTCCCAGCAATGAAAAATAAAATTTTGAGGTTTTTTTAAAAGAATATTGGAACATCTTCAGCTATTAAAACCTATTAGATTAATATTCTCTGCATATACTAAAATGAGATATCTTTATTTAAAGTTTATAACTACTATAAAGTAACTAAAACTGAGTGAATAACCAACATCTTTGATGTGTTTAGCCCTTTTCCTATGTACAAATTTTCCACAAATTGATAGCAAAGCAGTTTTAATAAATTCTAATATTGTAAATTATGCAATTACTGTTTATGTGGATATATGTTCAGCCTAAGGTTTACAAAGTGTTCGCAGAGAAAATTCACTTGTGTTTTTAATGTTGTATGACTGAGCACTTAAGTCACTGGATAACCTCATCTTCATTAACTACTGTCATTTTGTCCTGAAAAAAATGTTTGTTTTTGTTCATGAAAAGTAAATAGTTAAGGCTTTGAACAATGAAGAAACAAAATTCAAATTTGGAAATCAACAGAATGCTCAAGACTAACTTACTTTATCATCGGCATTCACCTGATTCTAACCTCAAACATATAACAGCAGTCACACATTCAGTTTCTCCATTAGGTACATGATTAAATTTCTGTGAATTCTCTTCTTGTCAACTACAAATAAACAGTCTTACTTGAAGCAACCATAATCCCAAAGATTGAATGCAATGTTATTCTAAAACAAACAACTGAATTTTTTACTCAGACCACTATAAAAAAAAAAAATTTCTCTTTCAGATAAACGAAACCTGGATGTCTGATAAGTGCACTAAGGCAACGTGTGTGGGAAACAACACAGTTGTTCTGGAGCTTCCTCCACCTGTACAGGTTATCACCTGTGTAAATGGACGTGAACCAGTAAAAGTCTATGAGCCAGATGGCTGTACCTACCATTATGAGTGTGAATGTAAGGAAGATAAGAAACAATTAAAGCATAAATGATGCATGATTTTTAAAAGTCAAAAAGGAAGAAAAACTTTTTTTCAGGCTGCCTGGATTAATATAATATTTAAATATGCTGGGCTTCACTCACCAATTACAGTTCTCCAGTTTATAATATATTTAAGATTTGTCAGTGCCTTAGACAGTATTTTTTCTCTTAAAAGAGAGGGCAGCTAATATACTTGAATTATAAGAGTATATAATTACTATATAAATGTATATAACTAGTAGCTAGGCATTCATTACATATGCATTAGAATAGTATATAGCTTTTAAAATATTTTAATGGTCAGAAGGCATATCTACGTGTGCCCAGGACTACACATTTGGTACTGAACAGTCATTTGATACTTGCTTTAGCAAGTACTAAAGAACTGTGCAGTACTGGCAAGTACTGCGCAGTCCCAGCAGGGCACAGTTAATACTATATGCTACGGTGATGTAGAAACAAGCTTCAGCAATATAGCTGGTTGCTACAGTGATGTAGCATCAGCATCGTGGTTTGTGCCCGCCTATGCTACTTCACCGTAGCTCATCGCTACAGTAACGTAGCATCTCGCTTAGGTGCGCCCAGATCATAGTATGGTGTAAAGCTAGTACAAAAGCTGACAGATATATGGATAGGTAAGCATATTTGGACATTGAATTCTAATCCTAAAATCATTATTGTTACAGAAGTTATACACAAGAGAAAGATTATGATTTATTTACTTATACCTTGAGTTTCAATATCAGAAAAAAAAAATCTTATTTTGAACACAGATTGCGATTGCTATGCCATTAGCATGAAATTATAATTTCATTGAGAAATTATATTTATCTTTGAATTATAACTAAATTGTTTTCTTCCTGAAAGGTGTTTGTAACGGCTGGAGCAATTCTGACTACAAGACTTTTGATGGAGTTAAATACACATTCAATGGACTCTGCAGATATGTGCTGGTGAAAGAGATTGTGCCAAAATACAATTTCAGTGTTCTTACTGACAATTACAACTGTGATGTGGTTGGTGGACTCTCCTGCCCTAAATCTATCATTGTGAATTACAACTCCATGGAAATAGTGCTAAGCAGTCAGACACGTGAAGGAAACGTAACTAACAAGGTACAATTTTGTATTTTTCTGCAAAAAAGTGTTATTTCAGTAACAAGACTAAAGTATTTAAATACCATTATACAGAACAGCTAAAGATTGTAAATGCATAGCATTTCATCTGGGAATCAAATATAATTCTGCAAGAATCTCCCTGTTTTGTACATATTTTGAAAAGGGCTGTTCAGCTATGTAGTAGGGGCTTGCTTCTTCCTTTCTCAACTTGACTCTTGTCATCATAAGTTAAAAACTATTTCACTTTATATGCCCCAAATGGCACATACACAGCCATCTAACTGCAGTTTGGGATTGTATTTCTCCTGCAGCAAAAATGAATCACTCTTCTTGTGTACCTGCCAGAATTAAAATGATGGGAAGGTGGAGGGGGATTTCCCTCATGTAATAGTTAAGGACCCCTCACCCAGGAAAGAGCAGAATCAGGTTCTAGGGCCCCCTCACTCAAAAAGAGCTTGAACTTGTACCTATTGCTTCCCAGGTATGTGCTTTAACCACTGTCTACAGGCTCATGCCTGCACCCTCTCCAGGCTTCCTTCTGAAGTTGGCCCACTGTACCTTGCATTTAATATTCATTGCATAAAATGGATCAACAGCACTAGGAACGTTTGTGCTCTATTGAGAGCAGGTGCCCAGGCTAAAACTCAGCATCCACTCTTGGGGAATCATCTACCTCACTAAGCCATATGCCCTGTACCTTGATCACCTTCTCCTGATCACACGTGTCTCATCTTGGCTGTTCAGTAGACAAACTTCAAGCGTAGGGCTGGGGAAAGGTCTGGGTAATGCCTACCCTGTTGCCTGGTAATTAAACTGCTTTGTTAGGAAGGAGAAAATCTAAGTGAGTGAGGCCTAAAACATGGGTCTCCTGCTCCCTGGAAGAATACCCTATATAGACTAAAAGGGAAGAAGATCCTCTCCCTTCTTCATCATCTGACACCTTGGCTTTCTGCAACTAAAATTTTAGGATTTACTCAGCCTTAGTTACATATGTACCCAGGCAATCCTGTTTTGCTGGGCAGCTGTCTCAACTCAAATACACCCCTACTGATTAAACTCAGTGAGGGAGCATAGGCCTGCACACTCAAAGGTGAATTGAAAGCTATGCATAAGCTGTAAACTGGTTACATGACTATATATGTACCACTTTGGCACAACAAAGGAAATAAGATTTAGCCCAAAAAATAATAACATCCTTCCTAATTATATGAGCACAAAATAAACCTGTTTCAACTGCTTTTCTTCTATTGATTTTTAGATCATTTTCAACAAAGAGCCAATCAATGAAGGTGTCAGCAAGGATGGTGTTTCCGTTACCAGGGTTGGTAAGGATTTGACTGTTGAAATTCCTGCCATCAATGCTTACATCTCCTTGAATGGATTAATCTTCACAGTGAAAGTGCCATTTGGTCTGTTTGCACATAACACTGAGGGCCAGTGTGGTAAGTAGAATTGTTTGACTCCCATTTTCCATTAAAGCAGTTTCCAAGCAAAAAGCTATCCTTATTTATACCAATGGCAAGGTTGACTTTAGCTGATCCTTTAAGTTCTAGAAGCCACAGAAAATGTAACAAAAAACAGAAAAAAAAATAGGATTACTGAGCCATCGTATATATGTGTTTAGATACTCTCAGAATCCCCTCAGAATGCAATTTCAGTTAACAAGAACATTTCTAATTTAAGTCATTCATCGGTCATTCCACAATCCCCCTCTGCACACCTTGGTTCCATTCAAGTGCACATCTCCACTTTTGCTTAACACACTATGCTATATACTACTGCCAATGCTTTGATAACAATTACATTTAATTCCATCTGTGTTCTACCAGGCACGTGCTCAAATATAAAATCAGACGAATGCCGCACGCAAGGCGGTCAGGAAGTTTCCTCATGTTCGGAAATGGCTTACACGTGGAAGGTTGAGAATGGAAACAATCCCTATTGTCACGAGACTACAACATCATCGCCTCCTCTGATCTCACCAACTACACCAGTACCCTGCACTTCTTCTTCGCCTCTCTGTGAGCTGATCTTGAGCGAGTAGGTTTACGTTAAATGCAAAGTATTTTTCTTTACTGAAAAGGAACCAAATGTTTTGGCAGCCTTATTTGTCATCTTTGAAGCGGGTTTAAATTAAAAGAAATGGGGAGCGGGGGTGCAGGGGAGGAATTCCAGTGCTGATTGTAAAAACAACGAAGAAATATTCTTTATTCAACTTTTAAAAAAACAGCATAGCTGTATAGTTTGTCATCTCCATTATGTACCAAGGATCCTACCTTAGGCATCATTTAGCCTCACATAAATATGAGACTTATCTAATATACATTTATACTGTTCAGAAACACAACCTGCCTAGGAACAAGTCTCATGAAATTGCCACCAGTGAGTGTTATTACTTTGTCACTAAAATCACTCATTTGGAACTAAAATCATTATATAGAAGTTAGTGCATCTCCAAGGCAGTATCTTGTCCTTAAACCAGAGGCTAATGACCTGTCAGTGCCGTAGGCCAGAACAACCCAGCTCTGGTCTGTGGCGGGTCAGTGTTCTGGTCTGGCTGCCACCACTGTTGCTTCTCCCTGCTCGTCAGCTGTGGCACAGAGCCAGCTCCTCACCACCCAGCTCCAACACAGGCTCAGATGAAGCCCCTCAATGCCAAAATGCCGGCAGGGCTCTCCAGCTCTGCAGGCCAGATCCAATGGCTCCACCAGCCAGATCTAGCCTAAGAGCCATACACAGATGACCTCTGCTTTAAACCACTTCACTCTGACTTGTCTATATGTTTTTATAGTGACCATGCCTCACTATTCAACCTTCTTGTCTATTGTATCTCAAGTATCTTTGCAGAGTGCCATAAGATTCTTCCTCCAAGGAAGTTCTATATAGAATGTCTCTCTGAGTCATGTAAGAACACCAATGACAGCCTCCCATGCATCATCTTGGACAAATATTCTTCCCTTTGCATTGCTAATGGTATCTGTGCTGACTGGAGAAGCAAGACTCAAGGAAAATGCTGTAAGTAGTACTGAGGAAAACTTAATTTGGATATAAGAAGTACTTAATACTGGCTTTTCTGGGGGGGGAAATATAAACTATAGTCACAGAGAAACAGGCCCCTCTATCTAAAGAGAGCTTTGCTTATTAAGACATGAATGAATTAGTTCAGATAAAACAGAAACACATGTCTTTTCCCTTAAACTTAACCAAACCTAACCCAAAACCTTCGTAAAGTTTAAAACTATTAACTGTTATGATATTTTAGATGTTTATACTTCCGTATGTACTCAGCTCAAAAGGATTTATGAAGCCAAAGATCATTGTTGCTTATTTCCCTGTGGTACACACAGAATTAAAAACAACTGGCAAGGATCATCTTTGCTTTCTAACCCTGATGTTTCATTTTCATATTAAATATATTCCTGCTCCTACACAGCATACAGCTGTCCTGCAGACAAGGTGTATAAGGCATGTGGTCCTCATAAGCCAGTCACCTGTAACGAAAGGTAAGGCTAAACCAAATAATTAGCTGTTCATTCATGTGTATCACTGTGCATAACTGGGTTTGTCTTTAGATAGGAACTTAGGAAGCATTTTAGAACAAGACATATGTTTGAAGAACCAGTGGTGCAGGTGATTTCAGCAAATTCTATGAGTTACTACAGGTCATTACGGGTGCCATATTTCACTTGTGACATTAAAACTGATGTCCTGACTATTTGTGACTATTAAAAATATCACCTTTCTTCAAAGAAGGAAGGCCAGAATCAGAATCCTGGCCAATTTCCTCTTTGGCTAATTACAGTCTGTTATTCTCCCTCTGCAATTTCAAATTTATCTTGTAAAAAAAAATCTTTTGGCAGCACTGCTGTGTGCTTGCAAACAGCTGTCATGCTACATTTCACAGATAGCTGTAATTCAATGCAGGTAAAACAACTGAAGATAATTTGTCCATGTTTATAAAATAATTTTGGATATTTGGGGTATGTATGAATGCAAGGAGTTTAAAGAAAGCTTATAAAATAGCATCTGGATTGTTTAAGGAAATCTCTTCCTTATGCTTCTTTTATAAGAATGCTATAAAAATTCTGATCATATAATGCAGGAAAAACGGACTTCAATATCCATTCCTCTTTTCCTTCTAGAATTGGTGACCAGACAATTGAAGGTTTTGTTGAAGGATGCTTCTGCCCAGAGGGTAGCATCCTTTTTAATTCATTTGCTGATGTCTGTGTGTCAGAATGCGGTAAGTTTGTATGGTTTCTGGAGGGGAATGTGAATTGGGCAAATACTGCTGATTTGAAAAAAAGAGGCTGATGGGAGAAACTATGTGGGGATGTAGCTTGAAAGGACGTTATAGAAACATCTACCGCACAGTTCCACTAATGTTACTCAACTAGATAAACTGGCATTCTAGTTCTTTACTATTCAAATTTTACTTTTTGCATCAGTCTGACTCATGGTTTTGTACATCGAGAGAAATTCATGCTGTGAACTTGATTAAAATCACGAAAACCACTTATACCTATTAATTAGCATTTGAAGCCAAATTGCTACTGGTTTAAGATCGGTGTATTAAACAGACTATTTTAGCCCCCTTCCCATTTTATTTTACATTCTTTGAATTTGAATAATCTGCAAAATATACACAATGAATACCAGATTTTAGTGTTGGACAGGCATCAGCTTGAGAGTAAATAATACTATCTAGTTAAGAACTGAATGCTAAATGCCAAAACTGATTTCACCACAAGATGTATAAGTTTTGTCCATTCAATATTTTTTAAGAAAGAATGGCATTAACACCTCCATCTTACTATTTAAAAATAGATGACCAGAATCTCTCAGCATAAGACAGAATTAAGGCTTAAAATATATCCCTCATGGATAACAATACATGTATCTCAAAATTGCCGTTACTAAATAAAGTATAACTGATATACACTTATTATGGGAAGGGCCATTACACTGGAACAAATGTAAGCCTCCATTCTTTCATTTCTTTCAGGTTGTGTTGGACCAGATGGACTGCCCAGAGAGGTAAGTATTTTAGGATTTTTTTCTACAGATCTTGCCCCAAAACATTTTCAAATACAGATATTTCCAGGAATTCAGAATATCACTGCCTTTTTCTTCCTCTTAGTCCTTATTTTACTTTAAGATCTAGTGAGTTGTCCTAGTTATTAGTAGAAACAGAAAGGAGGAAAATAGCAGCAATGACTTAATTAACACTTTCTGCATTTAATACACAACTCACCTACTTTAAAAAGAGCACATTTTAACCCTCACAATATATCCCTAGAGAACAAATATGATTCTTTTAACACAGGGATGTCCAACCTGCAACACCTATCGCAAAAGTGACATGTAGCAGAATGGGGAAGGGGCAGGCAGCATAGCAACAGATAGGGCAGGGAGCAGAAAGCAGAGCAGCAGCATCTATATATTCCTTCAGTTAGCTTGCTGGTACTTCAGTGCCAGTGATCTATCATTCCTCTGTCAAGTGTTAAGAGATATTTATTCGTACATATCCCATTTGAAAAAGGGAAAGCAGGCTCACTGATTTTTGTCAGCATCTGAGAAATGGCCTCAAGCTTTGAATGGACTTTGAATTAGGAACTATGAACAGTTTAATCTGATCACGGGTAGATCCAGAGGGGCTTTTTTAAGTCCCCAAAGTAGGTAAAAATCCTCCCGCCCTTCCTCTTCATGATTGTAGGCATGTCCCCTCTCCTATCCTTTCCCCTTCCCCATCTGCCACTGCTGCTTTTCCTGCTTCTCTAGGGGTGGGGGAAACATCAGAGCCAGCTGAGCTGCATGGACAACAGGGGGTAAGGGGAGGGTGGAGTTCTGCTTCCTTGTGCCTGCTTCTGAGTGCCCAGGCTGGGAGGAGAGAACTGCTTTCCCACCATACTGGCACCACTGTCCCTGTCCCCAGCTAAGCCCAGTCCTCCATGCAGCCCAGCTAGCTCTGGTGTTTCCCGCACCCCTGGAACAGCAGGGTAAGCAGTATGTGGGAGGAAGAAAGGGGAGGGCATGCCTCTAAGCATGAAGAGAAAGGGAGGGAGGATTTTCACCTGCTTTAGGGACTTAAAAATGTCCCTGCAGGCTCCCACAGTGCTGTCCAGCCCAGTGAGACAGAGAAGGCTGGGAGCAGGGGGTGCAGCCACTCCTGTAGCCACACCCTGCTTTGGCAGTCCTGGGTCTATCCCTGAACCTGAGATTACTTTCAGTTTTGAGGGCTTAAATTGATCCAGAACATCCAGAGAACAGTTAACACAATACTTAAATGTTTTTTCAGCCTGGATCCAAATGGAAGAGCAATTGCCAGGAGTGTGTCTGTGACGAAAAGTCTATGACTGTACAGTGTAAGCCACTTTTATGTCAGACGCCTGTGCCAGCCACTTGTAATAAACCAGGATTCGTCCCTATGCCCGTGTTAACACCAGATGACCCATGCTGCCCTGAAATTATATGCAGTAAGTACCAGCAATTATCTTTGATAGACAACTCATAAATATATTAGGACAAATACTGCAGATCTCTTATTAACACATATTATCTAAATAAAGGGCATCATGTAACATCTAACACCATAATATCTGCTATCACTAAAATACCTAATAGTATCTAATATTTAAGAGCTGTGCCTTAATGGATACACAGCTAACTGTACTTTGAGTATGAAAAGTGGATTTTTGAGTTACAGTTTTGATGTGCACTGTGAGCTGATTTCAAAATGATACTCTTTCTAATGTGTTCGTTTTGGGAGGGTATAGAGGAAAAAAGGTTTAAAAAATATTTGTAAGTCTTAATATACCTAGGTATTAACTCCATTTATGTAGATTCAACAGTATTAATCCATAAGTATATCTACTATTGCAGTTCATCAATATTAATTTATTTATATAGGTAAATAAAGATGAATAAAAAAGGAAACACAAGACAGCAGTTATATGTGGTATTTCACTAGCTAATCAAGGAGGGAAAAAGGTGATAAAAAGTAAATAAAATTAGTTTTAATAAGCAGAGGCTGGATGATTAGTATATGAAAAATAGTGAAAATAAGACTTTATACTATCTTCTCTGCTTGCTCACTGGTCAGACAAGAGAGACAAGGGGAGAAGGAATCCTGTTTTTTTTACCCTGGAACCAGGGGTACAACTAATGAGTAATGGAGAGCTAAATGTTAAGTGGATTTCTGAAAGATATAAAATGGCAGCTAATGATAGTAAATGATTTGATGAGTACAGTAATATTTTTTATGAGAGTAAGTCTTCCATCCAACTTACATACAAACAGGTTTCAGGGAACTTACCAGTGAAGTAAAAGTGTCCTTTGAATTTATGCGGTAAAGTTAGGGTAACGTACAGCCATGATGGTCCAGGAAATATACAAGTACATAAAGCTTGTTTGAAGAACTTTAGATAAGGTGCCACTGATGCCATTTTGAAGCATGGGGACACTGATACATGAGATGCTCCGGGAGCTTTACTTAGAGCAGCTCTCAGAGCCACTCTAATTAAAGTGCTCCCCACCAACCCTCCACTCCCAGACCATGTGTAAAAATGCCCATAGTGCCTGATTAATCAATGCTTTCTCTGTGCCATTCTTCCTTTAGTCTCTCCATATGTTCATGAAGCTTTGGCGCACATTAATTCTATACAGGTAAGTAATGAAGACTAACACTGCTAATGTTAGCCTATTAAACATGTCCTCTTCTCTTTCATTTCTCAGGATGTGATATTACCTTGTGCCCCAAGGCCGAGAATAGTTGTGAACAAGGTTATTATCTAGCCTCAGTTGTTTTTGCTGGCAACTGTTGTGTGACATATGAGTGTGGTAAGTACTTGTCTCCTCTCCTTTTGACCTGTGAGTTAAAAGAAGCTCAATTTAAATTTTCAAGAAGAAATGGACCTAAAAAAAGATTTGAGAAATGAAGAAACCAAATGCATGGTACATCTACACGTGTGCTTTGCTGCAGAGCTGACTAATTAGTTCTGCAGTAAAACATCACTGTCTACATGAGCGCCGGTATTAAGTTGCATTACATTAATTAACTCACTCTTCTGTAAGAAAGTATTGTTGGGGACAGTACTAGCTTACAGAAGAGTAATTAACTTAACTCCACTGAAACACTAATTTAGACAGTCACCAAGGCTGACTGGGGCACAAGGGTGCAATAATGCATGGGCTGCCTGCCTGATGCCCAACCCCACACTTTAGCACCCTCGTGCCCCAGCCAGCCCCTCTGCTGCCTGATGCTGGTACCCAGAGCCCGGGGCTGATCCCCTAAACCCCAGCCAGCCCAGGGCTGCTCCACCCCAGCTCTAAGTGCTGTGGTCCTGGGTGCACATGAAGACTGCACAGAAGTAGCTGATTCTGGCATGAACTGCACCAGAGTTTATTCAGACACCCTAACTGCAACACTCCCCTTGAACTACATACAAAAAAGCTACATCAGCCTCTGGAAGATTTAAAAATTGAGTCTCTGTTAAATGTTATCACTTTAAATGATCTAATTCCTTTTGTTTGTTTATTTTTTCAGTACTTCCCCCCAACACCTGTAGAGTTAATGGAACTTCTTATCAGGTAAAAACAACAGTATTACACCAAGGATGCCAATATAATCTAATGTCAGTGTATCTCTAGAGATCCAATATGCATCTTTTTGATCAGTAGCTCCTTGGAGAGAGATTGTTTATCCTACATGTTAAATACAGGCAACCTCCGCTTAGCGCTCTTAATTGGTTCCAGAAAAAATGAGCGTTAAGTGGAACCGTGCTAAGCAAAACCCATTTGTCCATAGGAATGAATGTAAACATAGATAATTGGTTACCGCTGCTTCTTGCCACCGCCACCTCTCCCCACTAGCCTGCTGGCTGCTCCAGTCCCACATGCCAGGATGGGCCTGCACTCCTGCTGCCTTGCTCTGGGCCCCCACCGGCCCTGGCCCTGGGCAAGGACACAGGCCCTGCAGTGATGCCTGCCCCCCACCACTCACCGCTTCTCACTGCCACCACCTCTCCCCACCCACCCGCCTGCCCACTGGCCACTCCGGCCCCACGTGCCAGCCTGGGCACCAGCACTCCTGCTGCCCCGCTGTGGCCCTGGGCCCCTGCCAGCCCTGGCCCTGGGCCCTGCACTCCTTGCCACCACAGCTGCTTCAGCTGGTTAAGTCAGACTGGTGGGGCGGTGGAGCATCCCACAGGAGCAGGGTGAATATTTGCAGCTGGCCAGGAGAAAGCGGGGGTGGGGAGGAAGGGGGGTTGCAGCTGGCCAGGAACGGTGGGGGTTGCAGCTTCCCTGCTACGTGCCCAGCCAGTTGCAAACCCCACCCTGCTCCCAGCCGGCTGACCTGGCTCAATGTGCTGTGCTCTTGGGCACATGTGCAGAGGCTCTGGGGTTTATTCATGCACACCAACAGCATGTGTAGACGTGCCCACCATATTTTGGAATAGCTCCTCATAAAAAAATTTTAAAAAAGGAAAGGAAAGGAAAGGAAAGGAAAGGAAAGGAAAGGAAAAAGAAAAAGAAACCCAAGACAACTAAATTTGGATTATATCTTCAACATCTGGAATGGGTAAAACTTTCTGTTAAAGCAAAATTTTGAAAGAAGTACTTTTCAGTAGGGTGCAAGAGATGAAGCACTTAAAAATACATCTAAGATTTTTGGCCTAGATTTCAAAGTTGACATCTGAACTTTTTAGTCAAATTTTCTCTTTTAATACCTATGACCTGGGACAGTGATACTGGGATTAATTTTCAAAGGAGGCCTCAAATCTATGTCTATAATCTGTACACACATTCATGTCCCCGTGTTTAGGTATCCAAATAGGTACAAATTTAAATATCCATTTTAAATTGATGACTGTTTCACTGGCTCTTGATATAATTCATAGATTCTTCGGCCACAAGTGAAGCCTGGAAGGTTGATAAAATACTGAGGCAGCTGCAACCAGATTTATCTGTTTTCTAAACTATGAGCGTTCTTTTGATCTTTTGCATCATATCCTGACCACATCTTTGTTAGTGTAACCATTTTTGTATTATTTGTTAGTTTGTTCCCACTCCTACACTAGTTTTCTATTTTGTGTAATATGTGCAGTATAATTGCTTTAGGCTCTCCACAGGGTAACGTAATCACACTAGTGTTTCAGCATCTTTAATGTTGCATGAAATTGTGCTAACCTCTGTCCATACTTATCAGATTTCCTGGACTAGATTTTCCACGCAATAAAAAAAAGTTAAATCTAAGTGTACTTAATCTTTGACTTCTCCCAGACTGGAATGCTTGTCCCAAGTGATCCATGTAAGAATTGTACCTGCAGTACTAAGGTAGATCCAGTCTCCAAGCAAAATATTGTGGAGTGTGAACCAGTGAAATGTCATACATCTTGCCCCCCGGTGAGCTCCATTTTTCATTTCACTTTCTCAGCCATCATTTATTTTCTGTAGATTTGAAACAATTAAAGTCCCTCTCATCGAGTCATTGCATTTTCTCTCTTATTGCTTTGTAAACAGGGTTATGAGTATAAAACAAAACATGGAAAGTGTTGTGGGGAATGTGTGCAGGTGGCTTGCTTAATCTCTTTGGATAACAGCACTAGCCAGGTGCTCAAGGTAACTGTTATTTTTTATTTTCATTGAACTTTGTTTTAGGCCACTACAGGTGTGAAATGTTGACAAAAGCAAGACAGCTCACAACCAGGTCACACCCTCTATTATATACAGCAGGATACCTCCTATATTCTTATTAGCTAGGGCCACTCATTTTCAGTAAGGGCCTGATTTTTCAAATTGGACACAAATGTTTGGATAACTAAATCCTACATTAATGTGTTCAAATGTGTAGTGAGATGTGGTAGCAGATACCCATTTTAGGATTCTTAAAGCTGATATGAGTAGGCGGGTCTATGATTAAAATAATGTTTGGAAATTTGGCTCCTGATACTTGCTAACTGATAAGGCCTCAGAAGTAGAGGAAAATTATGAGTTTCTAGTGGCATACACTGAAAATCTCATGTCAGTCCTTTTCAGAGTAGCCATACTATGTTTGATCATGTCATGAAAGAAATAATACTAACTTTTTTCATTTTAGCCTGGTGATACCTGGACATCCCAAAATAATAAATGCATCTATTATGAATGTGATAAAATTGAAGATCAACTTATTACAGTGGAAGTTAGGACACCATGCCCTGTCTTTAACCCTGATGAGTGTAAACCTGTAAGTCTTCACCAGTTTTTTGTTCTTTACTATTTAATGAGTGCTGTTGCATGGAACAAGGGTCAATGGATACAAAGCAATTTAAGACAAGGAATCACAATCCATTGTTAATTAATGACCAAGACAGGTGGGTTTCTATTGAGAGTGAAACTAGACTTGCCATGGTGTCAGCTGTAACCAACAGACACAGCAAAAAACTGCCTCTCCAACTTCAAATATAAACTACTTCTTGTTTGGAGTATCTGTAGTCAAGGACTGTAGGGGATCTAGGCAGTATGATACCCTTCGAAGTCCACCAACCAAGGTTTTATTTGCTGTCCATTGTACACCAAACTCCCTGTTTATTAAGGACAAGAATGCTAACACGTTCTAGAAAGCTCTTCATAGGCCATCTATATGGAAACTTAATCTTTGCATTTTGTCTCCGCACTAAAGGAAGATGTCCAGCTGACTTCCGATGGCTGCTGCAGAATATGTAAATGTAAGTAATTTTCAGCTTTTGCTGCCCAAACAGAGTGTGTATGATTATAATATCTCTAGCTATACTAAAGGAGGGTTCATCCACGGTCCATTCCCTGATTTTCTTCAGTTCCCTCTTTCACTTAGTTCCTCCAAAGAAAAGGGGCAACATGCCTTGCTTGATAGTGACAAGACATTCCCCACTCCATCCAAAATTTGACTATACTTCCTCACCAGTTCTTTCTACTAGAATTGGGAGATCAAGACTGTGCATTAAGCTGAAATCTCCAGCTGAAATCTCCAACTAATCTTTATGTGTGTTTCCTAACTACATTAATGGTATGTTAATCCTGTGTAATCAACATCTTCCACTCAGAGAAAATGATTTAAGCTTTAACTCTCAGTGTATTTGAAGAAAAGAGGTGAAACATTTCTATTTATTTTTGCTTCTTTATTAAAGCGGACAGATGCAAGGTTCACAAGAAACCAACTGTGATCTACCAAGATGAATGCAAATCTTCCGAATCTATCGAACTGACATACTGCGAAGGGTTTTGTGGCAGCTCCTCCAAGTAAGTAGAAGCAAGTTCATTATGCTCCACAGAGTATAACTACCAGTGGCTGCACCCTTGGTGGCAGCTGGGCTGACAGCAGCAGTGGCTGCCATTTTTGCCCTTCCTTTAAAGTGGGCACCTGAGGCTGGCACCCCAGTTTCCCACCCCTTGTTACACTGCTGATACTCCTTTCTGTCAATTTATCCTTCTGGCCTCTTTTTATTCAACTGCTCAAGGGCTATTAAGCATGGAATCATCTGTACACTCTCTACAAATTTGATATACACTTGAAAAGCAAGTAATTCCAGTGAATGCATTGCCTCCTTTATCTCAAGTGTGCCAATATTAGAAGAGATTTTTCACACAGTAGTACATCAGTGCTATTATATCTTCCACCACTTGGGCTGAGAGCGCGACACAATATATAATATGATATACACAATGTTAAAAAGCCAGGCTCATGGAGATAAATACTAGTTCAATCACAAAGCAGAACACTGGGGACTTGATGGCAAAGCTCAAACAGGAACAAAAGTAAAACCAGGAGAAAGAGGCATATTGTAGTAATTCTATGATTTACACCACTGTAAAACTGGTGAAGTTCCAATGTCTTTAGCAGTGTTATTCTTGATTTCCCTCTGCAGCAAAAGTGTCAGGGCCTGTATAAGTCATTACTACAATTTGGCTTGTAACAGAGTCCCTCATATGTAGATTGGCCTATCCTTCCTATCAATGCATCTTCCAAAACCATCACCACCATTTTAAATTTGTTTTATCATAGCACATAAAAGCCCTAAGAGGGACCTATTGCATTCAAGCCCATAGAGCATAGAACAAAAACTTTCTGCCCTTCATTTCTCTCTCTCTCTCTCATACATGCAGAGAATAAAATTTCCCATTAAACAATGATGACAGTGGACAGACTAAAAATCACTACAATCTCAACTTGCATGTTTGTACCTTATGCTATGTGCACACGTGCAAGCTGGTAATAATAGGCCCAAGCCTGGTCATGCTAAAGTGAAAGAGAGATTTGCCACTGAGCTCAGTGGGAACAGAAACACACCTTCTATGAAACATGTTATTGAAATCATGCTGGGTTTAGAAATGAGCGTCTGGTGATTTTTATGGAAGGACATAAATTCCTTTTCTTTGTCTGCCTGGGCAGGTATTCCTTGGAAGCAAATCAGATGCAACACCAATGTACCTGCTGCCAGGAGCTCAAGAGCCACAGGAGACAAGTGACCCTGACCTGTCACAATGGTACAAGAAGCAATTATGACTATATATATGTGGAACAGTGCCAATGCATAACTGCGTGCATCCCATCAGAGTCTGAAGACAGGACCAAACAGCTCCAAAGCAGTCAGATTCATTAGCCATATCAATGAAATAACCTATGCTCCTGCTTAAAACTGTGTTTCTTTCTTATTTTAGCTCTCACTATCACCATGTTTCATTTTTTAAAAATGTGAGACTATTCAGGAGCCAAATAAATTGTCTTGTCATGTATTTTGATTTGTGAACAATACTGTTTTTGAAGAGAAACAATGCACAAAATTACAACTTGGATTAAGAGAGGTTGGGTCTTGATTTAAGATGGGAAAAAAACCCTTTCCTTTACCATTTCCGCTCTGAGGTTTGAAGGTTAGAGCAGTAACATATTTCCATCTTCTTCACCTCATGTTTGTGAGTGTTCGCTCTCACTGGTGAGTCAGCCACCACTGTGTGTGTGTGTGTGTGTGTGTGTGTGTGTGTGTGTGTGTGTGTGAAAAACCTGAAGGCCCTCTACAGAGCATCCTTTTTTAACAGTCTGGAGATCTGCAGTTATTTACAAAATTGTTTACATATTAATGTTTTGGCAAAGAAAAAGGACAGCTCTTGGGGAAAAAAATATTATGATAATTATCTTATACAAAGAAAACCAAATTTTGTGGTTATATTTCACTGTCTTTTCCTATTTATTTGTAACCAGAGAGATAATTTCATTGGGTATCCTTCTCTGTGGAGTTTATGTTCTTTAGTGTCAGCAGGCATCTGGTAGTGGCAAGGAGGAGACTGCTACCTTCTGCATTTTGTCTCTTATTTGATTAATAAAACTTTCAGCATTTTTACATGTTGGTGACTGCTGTTCTTTTCATTATCTCTGCTCACTTTGGCTTAAATTGTGACTTTACAACAGCAATCCTACTCCCTGATTCCACTACAGGAAGGGAACAAGACATTCCCCAAAACTTCATTTCTGGGTACAGAATACTGCCCAGTCAGCTCTGCTTATTGGCACAGAGGATTTGGGGAGTCATATTCTTGTTCACTCTCTGTCTACTATTTCCAGTGATGGTTGGGGAACATGCAGGCTGCAGCCTCTTTCTTTCTTTGTACATAAAGCTGAGAACTAGGAAATGCTAGTATAGCAGATCTCAGGAGCATGGCTTTCAGCCAGAATCCTTAGTAAACTAATAAACTGAAGTATAGCAGATCTGGTGAATCTTTGCTACTCTCCTGCATGGTATATTAGAGTAAGACAAAATAACTCTTCTAGGGAAAAACTGTTGCACCTGTAACACGCTTATAGCTAACAATTTACAAACAGATCCATATCTTAAAACTTAATCCTGCATCTGCAAACTCATTTTCTTCCTTCAATACCTGTGAAATCTTGAATTCAGTGGAATTACACCCAGAAGGAATTTGGCTGTATTTCCCCTCAGTAGTTTATAAAACAATATTTACCCAAGCTGTCTTGGGTGTTTACTGTGTCAGCACCTTCTACAGCATAAATAATGAAGCCTGAAGTAAGGATTTGGCAGGAAAGTATAGGAGGAACTAGTTTTTCAAATAATTACACATTTTAAACATGCAGAGAAGTCCAAACTTAGTCCCTAGATGAAGTGAATAGCATTGCAACCTGTGCCCTGTACACCATTAATGGTTTGGGGCTCAGGTAGTAATTGTTTAGGGATAAAGCAGTGAATGTTAGCTTTACAGTTTGCTTTTACAACATTTTAAAATGACACATGGAGCTCAGTGTTATAAATCAAAATTACTTCCAACTGCACATAAGTGGGGGAAGATAATATCTCAATTCTGCCACTGAAGAAGTCTAAGTTCATAAATACGTGGCTAAAAGTAATTGGGAATAGTACTTAAGTGCCTTTCCTACAACTGTTCTCTGAAAGTAAAGAGGTATTGTCAATGCAAAGAAGTCGTTCTTCCATAAAGCATGAACTCATACCTAATGCACTGACCACTAACATACACAAGTTTTTTTTTAGTGTTACTGCTTCCAGGGAGCAAGACTATACAACATTATTTCCATCCTATACTCTCACTAGGCTATTAGGAAGAAAAAAAATATCACACTTTAATTTATTAACTGTAGTGTTGTATGTAAGAAAGGAAATAGTTTTTCCATTCTCTTAGACACTGGTCAGGCCTTAGATGGAGTCCTGTGTCCAGATTTGGAGTCCCCATTTTAGGAATGTCATGGACAAAGTGGAGAGAATCGAAAGGAGAGCAGCAAGACTAATAAAATATTTAGAAAGTGTAACCTATGACTAAAGTGTGAAAGAACTGCCCCTGTTTAGTCTAAAAAAGAGAAGATTGAGGGGGGGCAAGCAAGAAAATGGTCTTTCAGCAGATAAAATGTTGTTATACTGAAGATAATGATCAAATATTTCTCAGTGCCCAATGTAAAAATAAAAACTACATTGGCTTAAAAGGACCAGATTTAGATTCATAGATTCATAGATTTTAAGGGGCTGGAAGGGACCTCAGAAGATCATCAGGTCCAGCCCCCTGCACCAAGCAGGAAAGATAACTGGGGGTCCGGTGACCCCAGCAAGGTGACCATCCAGTCTCCTCTTGAAGATTTCCAGGGTAGGTGATTGCACCACCTTTGGAGGGAGCTTATTCCACAGTCTGGACACCCTAACTGTAAAGAAGTTTTTCCTAATGTGGAGCCTGAAACAATTTTCCAGGAGTTTGTGACCATTGCTCCTGGTTTTCCTCAAACATGCCCTGGTGAACAGTTGTTCACCGAGCCCTTGATGTACGCCCCTGATGTAGTGATAAGCTGCTCCCAGTCCCCTCTCAGCCCTCTCTTCTTCAGCTGAAGAGTCCCAGCTCCCTCAGCCTTACTGCATATGGCTTGCCGTGCAAGTCTCTGATCATAAAAGTGGCTCTTCTCTGGGCTCTCTCAAGCTTTTCCATGTCCTGGTTGAAGTACAGAGCCCAGAACTGGATGCAGTACTCCAACTGTGGTCTCACCAATGCCCAGTAAAGAGGAAGAATCACTTCCTTGGTTTTCCTGGAGATGCATCAATTGATGCACGTCAGAGTATTATTTGCCTTGCTGGCTACAGCGTCGCACTGCCAGCTCATGTTCATACTGTGGTCAGTTACTACCCCCAGGTCTCTTTCATTCATAGTAATTTAGATTCAGATTACATGCAATGAACACACACACCCCACCTCTCCCACCCAAATGGGTTTCCCTTCTCTGCCTGCTTCCCTGGAACAGCACTGGCAGCCATAAATAAGCCAAAGGGACATGGCAGGGCACAGGTGGGTTGCAAGGGTTGGGAGGGGAAAAGGGGTAGCAGGGAGGATCCTCAAGGGGCAAGGGAGTGTACCAGGCAGGGGGCCTGAGGGGCAGAGGAGAAGCCCTGGTGACTACATCAGGGTTTGGAAAACAGCCCTTGTGCAGTTCCCACCCGGCACAGCTAGCTGATTGTCAGCTTGGTGCAGACCCCACCAGGACTGATATAAGACCCCAGTGAAGTCACTGGAACCAACTAACTATCATCTGCCTGTTGTCTTGGTGGGCACTGCACTGAGATTGGCTCCAGACCCTGGTGCAGTCCCCCAGCTGAGCTGACAATCAGCTGATTGTTGGGAACCCGGCTTTCAACTTCCGAGTGCAGGGAGAGTCCAGGATCATGATCCCAGGCTCCCTCTACACTGGCAAGTATGGTGTGATTGTTAATCATATATTCCTGCCAATAAATCAATACAATCATGGATTTAGAGGTTAGCAAATAATGTTACGTTAATCATCGTTTAATTAATTATTATTAATAATAATTAATTATTATGATTAACATTTTTAAGACTATTGCTACAATAGAATCTGCAGGGTCTCAGCATCTTTGACAATCAGACCGTACATTTGGACTATTTCAACTCTTTAGTGCTCTACTGCTTCAGTTATCTTCTCTTATACTCACAAGTTATAAAGGTTGTTTAGGACACTTTGATCTATTGGGTTTGCTGAATTATTCAAGGCAATCCAGTGTCTTTCTTAGCACTTTCACTGAAAATGTTGTTAGGCTGCCCTCTAGTGGTGGTTAGATATTTCAGCTGAATGTAGAAGATACCTAGGAGACCACTCAACACAAATATTAGTACAGGAGAAAATATTTACTCACTAACAGCAAGACAGTGATTAAATCCTACAATACCAACAATACAAAATCAGAATAATATAGACTAGAGGGCTCAAGGGACTGAGCATGGGATACAGATCTTTTCATCTTTATAAATCAGTACTTCAAAATGTTATTTCACAAAGTCATAGGTCTGGCAGGTATTTATCAAAATCCTGGAAATAATGACTGAAGTGAATTGTTTCCAGTTAACTGCTGAGGCCTAGAAAATGAACTGGGTTATTTCAGAGTAGCTCTCAGTGGACTACAGTGTCCACTCCAGTCCTGAATACTCACTCCATATAGTATTCCACATGAAAAGCACCACAACTAGTTTTGTGCTGTGTCTAACAGCACATTGAACATGGATGGTAACCATCATGATTTGACTATTCCAGCTTAAACAGCAGATAGCAAAAATTGTAATTGTGAGATCTATAACAAATATTCATATTTGCTGGCAGTCTCAGCAAAGAGACCAAGGAGTACATGGATATAGGGAACAAATTATGTTCTATACAGCATGAAGATCAAGTCTTAGCTTTTTCATAAAATACCTATTATGATTTTATTTTAAATTAATACATTTTTTAAAAATGAGGAAGGACTGATAGAGATAGGAATACAAGTTTCTTTTTTCCTTAAATAGAAGAAATGCTATGAATTGCAACAAAAATGATAGACCAAGGGAAAAAAATCAATAGCCAGTGACCTGTGTAACAGATGGAGTACTTGAGACATGGGAATTATCAACTGTGTGAATAATACCATGAAGATATAAACTTTTAGCTAACAAACTAGAACAAATCACTGTTTCTTGAGGAGCCAACATAGATATGCAGCTATCAAGTATCCCATCAACTTAGTTAGATGGACCAGGAAAGGGATACCCTTGAAATGTAGTAAAAAAAATCCATCTATTTTTCAATCCTGTAGCAATAGTCTTAAAAATGTTAATCATATATTCCTGTCAATAAATCAATACAATCATGGATTTAGAGGTTAGCAAATAATATTACGTTTAAAAATCTGTTGCAGTACATAACGTAATATTAGTACTGGACAATTTTGCTAACAGTTATTACACTGTACCAGATCAGATTAGTAAATGTGGACTTTGACCATCTGAAAACATAAGCAAATGCTGTGATGTTTCATTAGTAGGTACCAGTGAATGGCATTTGGATACAACAGAGAATAGTGGGGGTGTAAAATGTTCATTCAATCAATCAATCTGCCAAATACAGACATTTTAGGGTACTGTTATTAGAAAACAGCCATATAGTATTATTACACACACATGCACATGCACACTTATATTACCCAGTTGGTGTAGTTAATTTGTATCTCTGCATGAGGTTTGTTTTGCCCATTCCTTTAGGTAAACAAATGTGCAGATGGTATTAAAATTCAACTTAAACACTTAGTTGACAAAAGCATCCCATTAACAAACAATTTATAGTTTTTATAATTTGCTATTCTAAACGCTTCATTGCAAATATCCACGTTTTTTTACTTTGCAAAACTGTGAGTAATTTGTGAATTTTAGTGCTAATGGAATTGGGAGACAGAAGCTGATACCACTAAATAAACCAGTGCATATGGGATACTTGCACAGTACTTGCCCCCCAGATCACTTCACCACTGAAGTGCAGCATTCCTATTTGTGCCTACC